GCGTGAGCGCGCGTTCCCGCGTGGGCGTCCACCGGAGGTGAGCCACCACAGCTGGCATGCAACGGCTTTTTCTGTCTGCGCAACGAATCCTTCCATTTTTCTTTTTCTTCAGGCAACGATGATTCGCGAGTGATCCGGAAGTGTAGCACTGCTGTCGTCGAAGATGGCTGCATCATGAGAGCCTCCCATGAAGATGGCCGGATCGGCTACTGTCATTGCTCAACGGAGTTGTGCAACTTTGCTCCCTCAATTTTCTTTGCTCCCAAGACCTATCTTGGTGTCCTGTTAGTTCTACTTTTATCTTTTTAGTAGTACTGATTCCATCCAGTGCGTAACTCCTCTGCCTTTCCCCTTTATGTCCTTTACTCACTTATGCATTTGTCTTGGTAGTACTTTGAACAAAACTGTCTACTTTTATCTGACTCGCATTGGGTACAGCAGACCGCATTCATTGCTTTTCCATAATCACCTGGTTTATTTGCTGTAATTTTGCCGGATCACTGCAGTAGGTAGTGCTTATTTAGTCATCATTTTAAAATTGTGCATATTTTTTTCGACTGTTCTCTACAACTGCTTGTCGATCTGACAAAAGCGGACTGGTCGCTGGGGAGGGGATTAATGACTGCTGTTAAAACAGCATGAAGAGGAAACAAGGATCAATATGGCAGGGTAACATTTGAGGCGACCTTAAAAGCGTACCTTTGCTTCCAGAGGCAGGCAATTAACTTCTCCACACTTCCCGATTGAAATTGACTTTTCAGCTGCGAAGCTGCAGTTGACCTAGTTAGTTCGACGTGGCGGGGTAGCAGAATAAACTGTCTAGATAATAAAAATCACCAAATCTATTTCTCCAGTTACAAGGGGTTATGTCCATCCTTCACTACCTTGAGTTGAAGGGCACTTTTTACGGGAAAGAGTTTGTGAATATTCTTGAACAGACTCCAGAAGGCTACTCCGTCAAAATTTGGAAGGTTTCGCAACTTGTCACTATAAAGTCTGGGAGCAGTAGTTTGTGGTGGATTACAGTAGATACTAGAAGGAACGAAGTTTGCCGGACCATGCACTCTTTCGAGAAAAGCCAATGCTTAACGGGAAACTCGAAAACATAAGTACAGGTGCCAAGGAAGGCGTACTGCCTTAGACTGCCGTAGAAAGTCACCGAAATACCAGATGTCGTATTATTTTTAGATCAAAAGTCCTTATATTATAGATAAAACATGAGAAGACGGTGTACCTCCTGTAAATAAATTTTACGTCCATTCGGCATAGGAGTAACAATCCTGGTATACATTTTCAAGGTTAACAAAATGGCTTCCTTCATATCTTATATAGAACTATGCTTTAGGCGAGCCAAATTACTTATTAAGAAAGGACTCCTGAGATGGTAGGTTAATTACGTAGTTCTTAAAAAAGGTTTCTCAACTCTATAACTAAAAAACCGCCACCTTAGACTAGAGTTTAGACCAGATGTCCATAAGAAATAATTCTCCTGTGGCAAAAGGTGTCCAAGGTAACTTGCCCTTGTCTATTTTACTCTCGCCCCAGAAAATACCTTAGTCATTCTCTATTGTAGTGACAGTGCTCTCATATTAACTTCGCCACTAATCGATATTCGTCGAACCTTGTCTCCAGAATAATTTGGACCAAATGCTGCCGTTTCATCGGAGGTAGCCAAACACATTTTCGAGGTTTGAATCTGGCCAATAGCAAGCCACTTCAGAATTTTCTCAATATTGCTATGAGTAACTTTCTTTTGGTGTTTTACGCGTTATGGTCCTACTGTAAAATGTATGCTCCCATTGAAAACACCATTAGACGTCTTGTGTTATCCCACGTTTTTCTAAGCACCAAAATATTATTTCATATTTTGAAATATAACTTGATGTGAACGAATGTTTCAAAATACAGTACCTACTATGTTGAAATGAGGTGACTGATGTGTGGCTCAGCACATATGAAGTCAGATTCATTCAGGCTGCGCTTACCGGACAAAGAAGCCTTTTGTTTTCAAATCCAGTTACTGTAAATATAGGTCCACAATACTGGTCAAAAACGTTGCTATGACCAGGCTGCCGATCCACTGCCCGCGTATCTATGATTTAAGCGATGGGGGCTGTAATATAGGCTGCTCTTAAAATCTTTTCCTAATGAAAATTGGGTTACTGCCAGCAGTATAGAGCCAAGCATGAACACTCATATTTCAAAGGTTTCTCCTGCTTGAATCTCGCGCGAGCGGTGTCCTGCTATTTTATTAAAATTCGCTTTAAAGCTTCCCAGAAAGCGCCTCTCAGTTTACTCGTGGGCTCAAAATTCTAGCATGCTTTAATCGGAATTTTCAGAAAAAATTAATTATTTTTATATTGAGAAAAAGACGGCAGGAGTTTCCTTGGTAGCGCACATATGTTCTTATTTATATTTACATGCCTACACAATTAATTTCTGTTAGGGTTAGAATTAGGGTAAGGGTTAGGGCAAGTGTTAGCGTTAGGGTTAGGGTAAGGGTTATGGTTAGGGTAAGGGTTAGGGGTAGGGTTAGGTTTATGGTTAGGGTAAGGGCTGGGGTTAGGGTTAGGGTAAGTGTTAGGGTTAGGGTGAGGGTTAGGGTTATGGTTAGTGTAAGGGTTAGGGTAAGGTTAAGGGTTAGGGTTAGGTTGGGATAGTGATATCGCATGTAAATGCCCCAAGTTTCTGTCTTACGGGAAGCGTTGGAGTAGGCATTTAAATATAAATAAGAACATATGTGCACTACCAAAGAAACTCCTGCCAAAAAGACGACTCTTCTCAATTACTTCCTGGGAATCACATTTTCGCTTGTATTGGCCATTTTTATTTCAGTAAATATTGATTTATAAACAAACCAATGGTCGTTTTTGCTGCTTTGAGACATTGGAAACGTGGCATGGCTGCACTTTGCGTGACAAGGATTTGCTTGTGGATCTCGTGAGATTTTACGAGTTTAGAAATCTACTGCATGAGAGAGCATAAGTAAATGTGGCGCTGGAAGAGGCCGACTTTGCAGGTGACCTAGTGCATGCTGGCGGTAGCTTATCAACGAAGCAGGTAAAATCTCAAATAGATGGGCTTTGTAACGTTGAGGGTGGTAACCTGGAGTCATTTAATTTTGTGTCCAAGCTACTTACACAAATTAGGTAGCACTATAAAATTAACTGTCGAGATTCCTAGAGGGGGTGCCACGACCTCAGTTATCTCAAGCCTAGGCATCTAAACCCAATACAAAAGCGGCCCTAATTCTATTCATTCGAAAAATAATCAGAATCATGTTTTATGCCCAGATCCAAGTGGGGTATAATGCCGTTAGGATGTTTAGAAATTGCATAATTGCCTTTCGGAAATCGCCAGTGCCAGTTAAAAGGCTGACCGGTTGCTATTATGACATTATTTTCATCGAATTCAACCAATCTATGCATATTCAAAGACAGTGTATTGCTTTCAATTTTCTTCCCACAGTAGTTAAACGTCAAATATCGTGCTCGAAAAATGCTCCATCAGTGAGTTAACTTTACGACAAGAAATATAACTACACAGGAAGACAGAATATGTAACCTGATGCATCGTGTGCTGAGTATCATGCGACATTGAAAGCATCAAGCTTTACAAGGCTTACATGTGGCACACTTCATCACATCTAGCAAAGTTAAAGGTTAATGTTGGATGCCGCGCGAGCCGTAGAACCCAAGGATCTAGGAAGAAAGCGGGAAATATGGTTGTAGAGATAGTGTCGACTGTCTCACTCGCATTAGGAGGAGCCCTAGCTGAGTCGCTCGCACGTATCCCTGATGACTCGTTCCACGCTACACTATCGATCGTCCCATAGGCCGTGCGCGTGACGATGTCACACAAGCTGCGGACGGGATTAGTGCTCTATCCAACCACTCGGATGAGCCGGAAAGCCAGCCCTTCAAGGACACTACCGAAATGGTCCGATTGCAGTCTGACCTTGTAGATACGCGTATGCCCCTTTTTGGCCTTAAATACGTTGTTCTATGGACGTCAATACACTTTCATTCTTCCAGCCTTGCTGTTGGGCTTTCATTTCGGGATTTGATAGAGGCGTTGTTGGTTTGGCGAACATCTAGGCT